CCGTCGGGGGTGAGTGTGCTCTTGGCACGGACGTCCTAGAGGACAGGCAGGAGGAGTTACAGTGCCTAGCGGCTGCTTCACCTCATCTCGCGTCTGTACTGCTTGCCCCTGAGGGAGACCCGGATGCACTAGACATCCCGACTCCGCGTTCTTACGCGGAGGCTGTAGAGGGTCCCTACTCCTCTCAGTGGCAGGCAGCTATGGATGCAGAGATGGCTTCCTGGAAGTCCACAGGCACCTACGTTGACGCAGTTCCCCCTCCTGGGGCGAACATCGTCAGTGGCATGTGGATCTTCAGGGTGAAGCGGCCGCCGGGCTCTCCGCCTGTCTTCAAGGCGCGTTACGTCGCTCGTGGCTTCAGTCAGCGGCAGGGAGTTGACTACTTTCAGACCTTCTCTCCCACTCCGAAGATGACTACTCTTCGGGTGCTGCTGCACGTTGCCGCTCAGCGCGACTACGACCTTCACTCTCTCGACTTCAGCACTGCGTTCCTGCAGGGTAGCCTGCACGAGGAGATCTGGCTGCGCCGTCCGCCTGGCTTCACTGGGACTTTCCCTCCTGGCACCCAGTGGAGCCTCCGACGGCCAGTCTACGGTCTCCGCCAGGCACCGCGTGAGTGGCACGACACACTGAGGACTACGCTTGCGGCTCTTGGGTTTGCTCCTTCCACTGCTGACTCGTCGCTGTTTCTTCGCACCGACACTTCCTTGCCGCCGTTCTACATCCTCGTGTACGTCGACGACTTGGTCTTTGCCACAGCGGACACTGCTGGACTCGCCTACGTGAAGTCCGAGCTGCTGAAGAGACACACGTGCACAGACCTGGGTGAACTGCGCAGCTACCTTGGCTTGCAGATCACTCGGGACAGAGCACGCCGCACCATTACCCTGACTCAGTCACACATGGTGCAGCAGGTCCTTCAGCGCTTCGGCTTCACGTACTCCTCGCCTCAGGCCACTCCTCTGCCTACTCGCCACTCGCTCTCAGCTCTGCCTTCGGATGAGTCCGTAGAGTCGAGTGGCCCGTATGCAGAGCTTGTTGGCTGCCTCATGTACCTGATGACCTGCACACGACCTGACCTTGCATACCCTCTGAGCATCCTTGCACGCTATGTTGCTCCTGGGAGACACCGACCTGAGCACATGGCTGCAGCGAAGAGGGTATTGCGCTACCTGTGCAGTACGTCGGGCATGGGGCTAGTGCTTGGAGGGCGGAGTCCAGTGGTCCTTACGGGCCACGCGGACGCTTCTTGGGCTGACGACCAGGCTACGCAGCGGTCGTCACAGGGTTACACCTTCAGCCTTGGTTCCGGCTCTGTCTCGTGGCGGTCTACTCGCTCGTCTTCGGTTCTCGGCTCCAGTTGTGAGGCTGAGATCTACGCCGGGGCCATGGCTGCACAGGAGCTTCGCTGGCTCACCTACCTGCTGACTGACCTTGGAGAGCCGCCTCGTTCTCCTCCAGTGCTGTACGTAGACAACAAGGCCATGCTGGCCTTGTGTCGAGAGCAGCGTCTGGAGCACAGAACGAAGCACATTGCTCTTCGCTACTTCCTTGCTCGTGAGCTGCAGCAGCGTGGTCAGTTGCGACTTGCGTACGTGGCCTCTGAGGCCAACACTGCTGATGTGTTCACCAAGGCACTCGCGCCTTGTGACCATCAGCGCTTCTGTACCCAGCTGGGTCTTGTGCCTGTCTTGCCTCACTTGCTCTCTTCCTGACTTCACTTGTACTGTGACATATATATATACCTGCTCTTGCTTGTCTAGTATTATATATATGTCTGTACCCCTGCATGTGAACTGGCCTCTGGCCCTGCTCTTGTGCTCGGATTGTGTGGTGACTTTGTGATCCACCCTGAGCTTGCTTTGCTTTGCTTGACTGGTCTTGTGACCCCTTGTTCTCCCCCACTTTGCCTATGGGGGTGTGTCAGAACATTATAGCTGATACATGTTTGTAGGCTATATTGGGGTAGCACATATGGGGTACAGATTCCTAGGGTTTGTTATTTGTACCAATTTGTGACTTAGTCATTTCATTTCCTCTTCTCATTGTTTCACACCAGCTGGACTGCTGCAACCCCTCGAGCCACCCGAACGACCGTGGCAGCAAGTGACGATGGATTTCGTCACGGGGATCCCAGCTGGGCCGTCCGGCAACGACGTTGTTCTCGTCGTCGTCGATCGCTTCACGAAAATGGCGCACTTCGCACCATGCCGAACGACAATCACAGCCGAATAAACTGCGCGCCTCTTAATCTCAACGGTCGTGCGACTGCACGGCATCCCTTCGGCGATCATCAGCGACCGAGACCCGAAGTTCACATCAAAGTTCTGGAAGGAGACGTGGGCGCAGTACGGCACGAAGCTACAGTTCCCATCGGCATATCACCCACAGACGGACGATCAAACCGAGCGAACCAATCAGACCATGGAGCAGCTGATCAGGACAAACTGCCCCGACCCTGCCCGCTGGGAAGACTCCCTCGCAATGTTGGAGTTCGCTTTCAACAACGCACCGTCCGGTACGACTAATCACTCCCCGTTTTTTCTAAATCACGGGATGGACCCGACAGTTCCTACGGCAACCACTCTCGACAACCCGGTCCCGAGGTCACAGACTTTGGTGACGGAACTTCAGAAAGTCGGAGAAAAAGCCGCCGACGCAATCCGCAAGGCGACTATTACTTCTCGAAAATACATCGACCTTCTACGCCGAAAACTCGTCTTGACCACTGGGCAACTAGTGCTACTTGACACGAAGAACCTGCACCTGCCCGGCTCGTCGAAACTACGGTCACGATTTTGTGGACCTTTCAAGATTCTCAAGATGGTAACACCTGTCACCGCGAAGCTGTTGCTACCGGACGACTAGCGCATTCACGACGCCTTCCACGTCAGCCTTCTTCGCAAGTTCGTGCCAGCCACGACCGATATCGCACGTCAGCAAGATGCCCCGACCGCACGACCTATGCCGGAGCCGACTCTCGACCCATCGAAGATTTTGGCACATAGGGCCCGCCTTGACGCAACTGGACGACACGTGGATTTTCTAATCCGCTAGACTGACCGCACCAGTGAGGACGACACGTGGGTGCCATCCGCATTGCCACTTGTTGGGGATTACCTGGCGCGCCGGCGTGTTTCGGATATTGACCACCTTTCTTTAGGGGGGGGGGGTGGTGTAAGGAATTTTCCTGAATTCCTTATCGGGGTTGATTGCTTCGCGTACAACCTGATTTTTCGGAGTTCGCACGTTCGGCCGATTTCAACGCTGCCGAGGCTCCTCGCGTCGCCTTCGGCATTTCCATCACCAAACCTGCACCCAACCTCGCTTGTCCGAGGTTTCCTCCTAGCTAGGCTAGCCCTACATTAGTCTGTGCATTCATTGTATTCGCAGTTCATTCAGTCACAGCCTCGTTATTCGTTTACCTGCGCACTCTCTTTTACAACTCATAACAGGCGTGATGGTTAGGGTATTTGCTGTATTCCGTCGCCCATTTCACATGTATACACCAACTACAAGACTTGTATGGCAGGTTCTATTTGGTAGCCGCACGTCCGCGCACTCGTGGCACGCAGTCTAGCTGACTCCCTTGTGAAACAATTCTCCCCCTTGCACGCAGCTTGCGCATGAGGCTTCCGCAGTCGGAACCTATTTTGATCGTTGATCTCAATCTGTTGATTGAGGCGTCGTTTGCTTAGCCTTCCCCGATTGGTTGGCACCTGGTGGGTAGGCCAAGAGACCGTTAGGTTCTCAGCATCGTGCGGAGCACAGCGGCGAAGCCCCGCATCATGCTCTTCCACAAAGGTTTCAACGAAACCGACTCCATTGTCGTCAAGGTGCGAAACCACATGCGACTATCTAACGAAACCTTGGGTCTCTATTTGGGTCCTTTCCCGTCGTCGCATCGTCGCACGACAGCTCGTCTCCTCTCGCGCATCCCCCCTGCGACTCACCTGCGAAGCATGTGGGGGTGGAACCCTTCCCGCCTTTCTCCACCCTCTCTGTACAGTGCCGAGAAGTTCGTGAATCACCCCACAACTCTCATCCAATTAGGTGGAGGAAAAGGGGGGGGAGGACCCAAGGGCCAACTGCAAGATAATGAAACAGAACGGTTGTGTGCTTTTGTTCAGGCTCTGATACGTTTTTGCGGTTTGCAGTACGGTGTGATGAGTGTTTGGGATCTGGTAGTTGCTGGCTTCGAGGTTTGCGCGCAAACCTAGATTTCCTCCTCTGTTCCTGTTCTGCTGCTCCCATTTTGCTGATGCTCCTTTCCCTTCTGCTACTCCTCGAGGTTCGCTGTATGTGGCGTAGTGTGGGTTCGCGCACCTCCGATCTGTTCGCCCATTTCGCCGTTTGCTCTTTTCTTACCTAACGACTAGTTTCTAACACCCTCACGACTCGTCTCGAGTTTTCTTCAACTTTCGGTCTCAGTTTGGTGCTCTCTCGATCGGACTTAGAGTGTGTCATAAGTCTCCACTGGGCAGCGCGTGCTCCATCGAATTAAGTCTATGATTAGGGGGGGTACGATGTCCGATAAAGGCTCCATTTCAATACTTAGGAGAGAAGAGAGACGTTTCTTTCAGGCTCTTTGTGGCAGATTGGTTGGCCGATTTGATTCTACTGGTATCTGACTCAGCAAAGTGCCAAGGCCGACCTTGTTCCGTGGGGAGGGAAGTAGTAGGTCTCTGCAGGCGGGGTTATGTTCTAGATTATTCAACACCGCTTAGGCATAGAGGAACCAAGGGTCGTTCGAATGAGTGGTGGTATTTGTTGTGGTAACGGCACTTGAACGAGTTAGGGCTTTCGGACATTCTTTCTGAGACGTGGTTCATTCACTGGGCTCTCTGGAAGCAGACTGGGTGAATTATTGACATAATCAGGCCTGACTGTGACAGTAACGCTGCCGATTCCGCGTCTTTTGGTTGTTCCTCTACCATCAGTGGAAACGGCAACTTCTAACTTCTACTAACTATTCTTCCACTATGGACGTCCCTAGATCGATGTCGTCCGAACCGTCGCGTCCGCGGCACTCCACGGACGAGGATAGCGATCACATGGAGATGGACGGGGAGGTCAGCGCATCCAAATTTAGAAAAGACCTCCTAAAGTGGAAGAAGAACCGCAGCAATTTAGGCATCGGGGGAAGCGCTAAGGAGCACGGGTCCGAAAGCATGGTAGGCTCGGGAGGCGGCGCGAACCTCAGTTACGGCGACGAGGGGTTTACATGGAAGACATGGCGCCTGTCGCGACAGCTGGGTTTCACGTCGCAGGATGTGAACACGGTGAAGGAGTTTCTAAAGCACCGCGACGCGTGGAGCACGCTCGAGGACAGCCCCTCCAATCGCTTCTACGTCTTCGAGTACATGCAGAACGTTCGCGCCAACCATCCCAACATACTGAAGGTATCGTGGCGGCTCGACATGCTTGCTTCCCCTTTTTTATGTCTCTTCCTCCTTTGCAGCACGGTTTTGTGTGGTCCGCGATGTACGCGTTGTTCTTTTTTCCGAGTCGGTGTCAGAAGCGCACGCGCTTTTGCGAATAATCATTTGCTGCAGACCTTTTTTTTTCATTATCCCCTTCGCGTCTCCGGCACTCCCATGCGTCACCCTCCCTTCTTTCTTCCGGCGCTATTGCCGCCGTTCCCACTCGCTTCTTCCTACCTGCTTGCTCAACCACATGCCCACCCACAACCTCCTCTTCCCTCCTCTCCCGTCCCCTCCTCGCCCCTCCTCCTTTCCCGTACACCCTCCGCTCCTCTCACCCTCCCCCTCTCCCTCGCTACTCCCAGGAATTCCGCGAGGCGCTCTTCACGCACAACCTCACGGAGGACGATTTGAACCAGGAGAAGCGCGAAACACTACAACTCCTCGCGCTCATGTTTTGCGACAAGGAGGGGCTGTGGCGCCTACGCAAGCAACAACTCCTCGAGATCATCGTCTCGTCTAAGTCCTGGATTGACCGGAACGGCGGCGGCGGAGGGGGAGGGGGCGGGGGTGGGGGAGGATCGGGAAGTGGCGGTGGTAGTGGTGGGGGTGGTGAATCGCGATCGTCTTCCTCGTCACCGTTTAGCCGGGTGGCTTCGAGGAAGGCGCCGGGCGGGATTAACAGCGCGGAAGAGGGGGCGGCGGCGGCGGCGGCGCATCGTTTCGCACGCGTGAACTCGCGGCAGGCGGCCGGCGGGCTCAACAGCGCGGACGGCGGCGGTTCGAACTTTGCCCGCGTGAGCTCGAGAAAAGCCGCCGGGGGAATTAACTCGCTGGAGGAGGAGCAGCGGCATGCGGCGGCGTTTGCGCGCGTGAACTCGCGGCAGGCCCCCGGCGGGCTTAACAGCGCCGATGGCGGAGGAGGCGGGCACCCGCCAGCCTTCTCCCGCGTGATTTCGAAGAAGGCGCCCGGCGGAGTGAACAGCGCGGACGAGGACCGGCGCGCGGCGGCGTTTGCGCGCGTGAACTCGCGGCAGGCGGCGGGGGGCGTGAGCAGCGCTGATAGCGGGGGAGGGGGGTCGCACCACACGTCCCCGTTCGGGAGGGTGAACTCGAGAAAAGCGGCGGGGGGAGTGAATAGCGCGGATGACGAGCAGCGGCATAGGGAGGAGCGGGAGAGGCAAAAGGAGGAGCGCGAGCGGCTTAGAGAAGAGCGGCACTCGTCGGCGTTTGGGCGGGTGAACTCTAAAAAGGCAGCCGGGGGAGTCAACAGCGCGGATGGGGAAGGCGGGCATGGGCACGGGGAGAGGGCGGAAAGGGGGTTCGCGCGGATAAACTCGAGGCAGGCGGCGGGAGGAGTGAATAGCGCGGACGGGGAAGGGGGGCATGGGGAGAGAGAACGGGAACGGTCGTATGGGCGGGTTAACTCCAGGCAGGCGGCGGGAGGGGTGAACAGCGCGGACGGGGAAGGGGCGGGGCACGGTGAGCGGGGAGAACGGGCGGAAAGGGCCTTTGCGCGCATTAACTCACGGCAGGCGGGCGGGGGAGTGAACAGCGCGGATTCGTCAAGCGAGCAGCGACGGGAGCGCTCGTACAACAGAGTGAACTCGAAGCAAGCCCCGGGCGGAGTAAACAGCGCCTCGCGTTCTGCCCACGGAGCAACAACCGGGGGAGACGGCGGAGGCGGAGGTGGGGCGGGAGCGGAAGGAGGGCCTGGGGACGTGTATAACAACCAGAGCAGCTTTCTGGAGCGAGATAAGGAGCTGCTGCGCGCGTTTCTGTCCAACCCGCAGCAGTGGGACTCGCTCCTGGCCCGCACGCCCATGCACGCGCGGTTCCTGGCGACGGTTCGCGAGCTTCGCGAGGCGCAGCGCGACGAGCTGCGACGGCTGCGCGACGTGATCATGGGGCAGAAGCAGGCGCTGGACGTGGAGGATATTCACGGGCTGGGCCTGGGCGTGCTGCAGGTGAGAGATCTTGAGTACGTTCGTGGTTTCTGAGCTTGTAACGTTTGAGACTCAAACTCGAGATATTTGAAGTTGTAAAATGCTTCAAAAATCAGAAGCAGGTGATGGATGTGGAGTGATACACACGGGCTGGGCCTGGGCGCGCGCTGCAGGTGAGAGAATGGCGGGGTAGAAAAGAGGGGTGAAAATACATGTGCGTGGGTAAGAGTCGCTCGGTGTGTACATGACAACCCATAGTTGAACGTATTGAAAGGACACTCACGGGCTGATGAGCCTGGGCTTGCTGCTGATCAGAGGGGCTTGCTACTGCAATTGCTAGAAAAAGTGTTGGGCGAGCTGTTTTGCTGTACTGGGTGAGTCTGGGTCGGTGCTAGTGTTAGCGCAGGTCGACTGACCATCGTGTGGGCGTTTGGGTTGAACCTCTTGGAGCAATTGCAGTGTGATAGAGAGGAGGCGGTCGGTATGTGTTTTCATGGTGACTGATTGCGCTTGTGCGACCAGCGTGTTTCAAGTCCTTGCTCTCTTCTGAAATGCTCTCCATTGAAGTACGCACCTCACTCAAGGCGAGTATATGGAAGCAACGCACTGCACCGCACTTCAACGCACTGCAGCGCACTTCAGCCCACTGCAACGAGATCTGCTCTCGAACGCTTGCCCCCGGTCTCCCATGTTCATACTCCCATATCCCAACTTTCTCCTCTCGAATGCTCGCTCCTTGTTTCCCCTTCTTCTGATTTTTGCTTTTTTTTCCTTGTCCCTTCACGTCTCTTGGGGTTCGTTTCTTGCTCTTCTGTCCCAATCCTTTCCTCCTCCATCTTCTCATTTTCCCTCGCCGCTTTGTCGTATACCCTTCCTATTCCCCCGTTTTCTGCCCGCTTCATTCCCCCGCCCTCATAACCTATCTTCATTTCCTTCTTTCACGCCCCCCCCGTCCAGGTGCTCGCCTCTGTGCTATGTGACTCTATCAAGGTCACCTCCACCAGCAGAGAAGACCTCGTTACAGTGTGCCTCGCTATGGGCCCATGGCACCCCACGGCTGGGGACGATATGGACGATCACCATGCAGGGGGCGGCATGGGTTCACCTGGTATGGGCGGCATTGGCGGCATGGGTGGGATGGTTGCGGCAGGGGGGCCGGTTCGGGACGCGGCAACGCTCAGGCAGGAAGCAGCGCACGCAGCAGCAATGGCAGCAAAGCAGATCGAGGAAGAGGAGGAAGAAGCGGCAGCTGCTGCCGCTGCTGCAGCATCCGCATCAGCTTCAGCAGCACCAGTGTCGTCAGCGCCAGGCGGGGGGATACCGCGAGGGGGCAAGGAGAGAATGAGCCGCCGGCGATCGGTGGAGTCAGCAAAGGATGCGAGAGAGGGAGGAGGGGAGGATAGCCCCGGGAGTGAATCGGAGCGGTCTGAAGCGAGCTTTATGAGCGTGGAAAGCGGGAGACAGTCGAGCAGTGGGGGGAAGAGGTCGTCCCGGAAAGGCGCTCTCTCTTCGAAGCAGAAAAAAGAGCTGGAGAAACTCAAAATGGACGTTCAAGTCATGGAAGAGAAGAGCCGTATGCGAGGGGAGGAGTATGTGGCAGGCGGGGGGGCCCCAGCTGGCGCGGATATGGATACGATCTGGGCGAATCTGAATCTAAATAAGAATGATGACCCGATGCAGAAGCAGCGACCGTCGACGGGCGTTCCGTCGAGGCGGTCGCGAGGTATGGAGTTTGTTAAGACTAACAGTGATCACTTGGACGTTCGGAGTCCGGGGTCTACTGCTTCAATGAGCTTTCGGGATGAGGACGGGGACGGGGAGAAGAAGAAGAGCAGCAAGGAGAAGAAGGAAAAGAAGGAGAAGAAGGAGAAAAGCAAGAGGAGGTCGTCGGCTGTGGATTCGGCGTCGGGGCAGGATATGAGTGAAGGGGAGATGTCTTGCACGAGCAGAAGCTCTAGGGCTAGTGCCAAGCCGCGGCGGTCCCGGAAGGACCATCAGCCAGCTCAAGTGGTAGAGGAAAGTGGGGATAGCATAGGTGGTTCGGACTCGCATCTGCCGCCCCTCGCGCCGAACCACGTGGGAGGCTCGGCGCTTGGGAGACTGTCAGTGGGTTCGTCGGAGCTGGGGGGGACTGATCTTTCTATTGTGGAGTCTGGTTCGGGAAGCATGGTGGAAGGCTCATTGGAAGGGGAGCAGGACGAGGAATTGGAAGAGGTGATGCGGCTCGAGCAGGAGGCGCTGCTGCGATTCTCCCAGGGGACGAAGCAGCTGGAGAAGCAGATTAAGGAGGACCGGAAGCAGGCAGATGCGGCGGTATCGCGGCTGAATGCAGCCAAGGAAAAGCTGGCGGCGGCGCAGAGAGCAGTGGAGGAGGAGGAGAGGAGGGTTGCAGAGGCGGACGAGAGATTCAAAGGGTCGGTTATGGCAATGGAAGACGGGAAGGAGCTTATGGAAGAAGCGTGTTTGGTTGTGAAAAGCAAGGCTGGGGAGTGCCGTGCTGCGTGGAAGAAGCACCTAGATGTGACCAACAGGCTGACGTCTGCTCTGCAGATGGGCACACCTGGTGCGAGGAAATCGGCAAACCGGCAGCGGCAGGAGGATTTTGAACTGGCTGCAAAGACTCATGAGGAGTTTGTGCGGCTGTATGAGGAGTTGGAGGCTCTCTGCAAGCCGAGCCTGCAGCAGGCGATTACACGGCTGGCGAGTTGTGCTTTAAGGATGGATGATGCGGATTTGGGGTTGGGCGGAGGAGGGGGTGGAGGGGGAGGGGGAGGGGGCATGAGAGGGTTTATGATGGATGGAGGGGGTGGGGGCGGGGGTGGGGGGAGTGGGGATGGAATGGAGGGAGCTGCGCCGATGGGGGCTTTGTAGTGGGGATGGGAGAGGGATACTGTGTGTGTGTGGAGGGGATGGGTGAGAGGTCATTTGTGAGGGGTGATGGAGAGTCGATGGGTGAAGGTTAATAGATGAAAGGGCACAGAAGGCTGGGCATCCAGATGAGGGTAGGATTCTGTGTGGGGTGTGTGCGGACCTTGGCTGGATAGAGGCGTAAGGTGCGATGCTGGCAAAGCAGAAGAGTGCAACAAGAGAGAGGGTGTTGGGTGATTCTCGATGGTTGATTTAGATAAGGGACACGGAACAGGATGGGACAGGGTTCAAGCAGGTGGCTGGGAGCTGTGGTGGAGTGAAGAATGATTAGCTCAGGAAGCAGAGGAGAAGGGATGATGGATGGGTACAGCATGGATGGATGGGATGATGGGTAGAGCGAAATAGTTGTGTGTGCGAAAGAGGAGGGAGGAGGGAGGAGGGAGGAGGGAGGAGGAGGGAGGAGGAGGAGGGAGGAGGAGGAGGGAGGAGGAGGGAGTGCTGGGGGGTGAGCGCTGGGAAGGGTGGGGTGGGATGTGAGGCGTATGTGGTGCAGCCAGAAGAAACTTGTTGGAGCAGCGCCGCCTCAAAGCAAGTGCTTGTCCGTTTCTGCTGCTGCTGCTGCTGCTGCCACTGCTTCTGCTGCTGGTGCTGGTACATGTCTTTTCAGAGCCTTTGATTGGATAGAGCCAGTGATCCTAGTGTTTAGGTGCAAGTAGTGCTTCACAAGATGCGTATTTCCTTGTTGTCTGCTGCTGTTTGATGCCCTTAGGACCGATGTGTGGTGGCAGGCTGGTTCGGAGAGGCCATCTGGCTGTCCTGATGGCTGCAGGAGACCTTGAGGAGTTTACGAGGGTTAGCTTAGGGGAAATGCCACCACCTACTGCTGACCTCTCGCCCTATCCCCTTATTTCACTCTCTCTCCTTGTTCCTGTTGCCTCTTTCACGTTCTCCCTCTTTTTCTTGGCCTCTCTCCTCTCTCACTGGACTTCCCGTTTCCTTTTGAGCCTCAGTGCTGTAATGGTGGTGTAACCATTCCTTCCTTCTCTCTCTGGCTCTCTAATTGGCATCTGACCTTCCTAAGGATAGGTTTCTTACAGAGATGATAGGCTGACTGACATTGTGATTATAAGAATTGGTGCATCTGCTCTTTAGAGAAGTTACTGACTTGTTTCCATTCCAGTTTGTAGCAAGTGTGAAAGCGACCGAAGTACACAATATCGCAGGACTATTCCTAGGCGGCTGGAAGGAGATGAGAAAGAGATTTATTGGCCACACGAAAGATATCTGAGTGATTCGATCTAGCTGTTCCCACTTTTGGCAGTTTCGACGAGCATCCGTGATTCGCTGTGGCAAAACACATGGCTTGGCACGTCCAGCATATGGTATGGGAACCAAAGATCTCTGTGTTTTGGGGAACCCTGCGTGATCCTAGTTCTGATCAACGTTCACCTTGCCACTACAAATTCTGGGGATTCTGTTTCTGTCATTGCTGTTTTCTTGCAAAGCTACCAACAGAGTGCGCTTTGACAGCAAAGAACGGTCTTCACAGACCCAGCGACGATACCCATACTAGACTGCTGTTATGCCATGTCGAGGGACGTGATGTGAGGGTTGATGAGTGGGAGGGTTGAACCATAGCCCTCACAACCGAGGGAGCCGGTATACGTGTACTTCAGGCATGTTTGTGCTAATTCGAGGTATTTCGAGTATTTCCCGGCAGTGTTCAAACCCGAACCTGTCTGATGGGCGGGAGGGAGGGGAGAGGGTAGTTCGGGTAAAGTTTGTTGCTTACTTGCTGTCGGTTTTGTCGGTTTTGTTTTGTAGTTCGGGACTTACTGGAATCGCTGGATGGTTTTCGCAGCAATGCGGTGGCGGGTGGCCGGGGGCAAAGAAGGACTGGAAGGGCGGTGATAGAACTTTTGATCTGTAAAAGGGTAATATGCTCTGCGATCTTGTTCGAGGTGAGGTGGGTGCGCGTGGGAGAAGCAACGAGGAAGGCGCGTTGTCGCAAGAATCTCACGAACCATTGCCGTAGGCTGGAATTACAACCAATCGATGCATTCCTAGTGCTTCCGTGGGCTTGGCGCGCAAAATCCTGCATGGAGTATTCACTGCTTCTCCCACTATCACGGAGTCCTTGCCAGGAAACCCGGACGAACAAGAAAACATTCTGGGAGGGAGTGACGTGTTGTCCAATCGACATGGGCCCAAAGTGTGCGTGGAGATCTAGGAACTTGGAAAAAATCAGTGGGTGCTGGTGGGGAAAACCGACGAGGGAATAATGTGTTCGAGTTGGCTTGGGGCACATTGTGGGGCGCCTCCGCGTCAGCACAGACACGTAAGCCTTCCTTACGTAACTCCGCACCCGCGACTTCCGCCGCTCCCCCCCCAAAATCAGCACGCTTTCCCCTTTCCCTTCCCCCACTGCTAGCGTCACCAGGCTGCGCGCACAACGCCACGGGCGAACAAACTCCTGCGCACGCAGAGACTCCCCCGAACAGCGGTCCGCGCGAGTAATTTTCCGCACGAGCAAGTTTCCCCACCGCACAGATCAAATCCTCCAAAACCTTGTGAGCCAAGCAACAAGCAAGCAGGAGAAACAGCGTAGTGCAGCACATGTGATAGCCAGGCTCAAGGAGGACCAAGAAATAATTCAGACCAAGCACAAATTTCAGTTTGCCAGCGCAGGCGAAGCTCAGGCAAGGCTAGTCTCAGGCGACCCTGAAAGCCTAGCTGGTTGGGTTGTACTGAGCTGATTCGACCTTACCTGACGGACGCTGGCCAATCAAGGAACGAGGTTGAAGACCAGAACTGGCCTGCTTTGGAAGAAGCAGCTGTTGGAGCCTGGAAGAGGGTTGTACATTTGGCACGCGGAAATATTCAGAGCTAAACGATTAATACAAACCGTTTGAAGGATTTACCTCTCCTTCAGCAATGGCCTCAAACGAGACGACTTTCACTGCAAGGAAGGCTGTGCCGATGGAAAGCTATGTGCTTTCGTCGAAGGTAAGCCGAGAGAATGGCTTGTTTTCTTTGCTGCTGTGTGCTCGTTATAGCTTAAAATACGGCGCAGCTTAGTAACTCAAATGCAGCTCTACCATGCTTGGGCGCGATTCTGACGCGTACATCATAGTTTGTAAGGAACATTTCGTCTGTTCCAGTGTTTTCAGTTCACTTATCTCTTGTCTCCCGTACCCATTCATCCTTGTCTTCTGTCACGCAGGCGGCATGGTCAGCCATGAATCCGTCGCATATGGCTCCTCGCCTGTCTCCACCGTCCCTACCTCATTGTCAGCTCGCCACTCGTCAGCTCCCTCCGCTCCTTCCGCCTCCACACCCGCGCGCTTTCATTGCCACTGACCACCACCCATACTCCTGGTCCGAACCACCTACATCGTCGTTGGCTAACCGTCCATTTGTCCGAGCATCTTTCTCCTTCCGCGGAGCTCGAGCGGGTTTGGTTCCGTCCGTCCCGCCATCGGCGACGGGTTGCTCCGCGAGCGCTGGTGCTCCTTGGAGCAGGAGTGGCGAGCGGAGGGATAACGGTCATCAGCAGTCCGCTTTTTCCTCGCCAGCAGATTCTATTTCCGCGTCACGGTCTCCACTCTTGGTATGCCTAGCAGAAATAATTCTCTGACATCCGTTTTACATCGTGATTTGCTGACATGAGCACGAGGTTTCCACAAGCGAGACGTTTACTGATAAGAAAGTCGCCGTCAGGACTCACATTGTACATGGCTGTTTGTCAGGAGAGGGCGAAATGTGGTACATGGTGTAGATTGTCGGGTACATTGCTCTTGTACAGCAAGTGCTAACCTTCTATGTCTTTGGTCGTTTTCGCTTTGCGTGTTCTCAGGCGATTTCGAAGCAGCCGCAACATCCACAAGCGTGTCAAGTGCTTGAGCGGCATGCAGTGCAGTACCGGAAGAATCCCTGTCAGAACCAGGATCAGCAGCAGTACGGCGTGAATTCCGAGGAGCAGGCCAGTCTGAAGGCCAAGACTCACCAAGAAACCAGTCCTGGAAACAGCACTGAGAGCGCGGAGAGAACGGAGAGCACGGAGTTGAAGAAACTAGGATCGGCGGAAGCCAAGCTGGTGGTGGAGGAGGTGGAGATTCTGGAGTTTTCCAATGACGACATAGCAGGCCCCATCAATCAGAAGCCGTTGACTGTGCCTCAGGATGCGTCCTTGGACCTGGTGCACGAGGATTTACTGCCTCCCTCCGCTATCTCCATGGTCAGTCGCGGTTTTCCTCCGTTCTCGCGCTTTTGCTCACCTGTGTTCATCTCAACCCGTTCTGCTTGCTGTCTCCTGTGTCACCACTACTCACGAACCAGGATTGTATGCGGTGTCAACCTAAACTTTTTCCTCTCTTCTGTTATCTCTGTAATGCAGGGTACTTTCGACTTCCCGTACGACTGGTCATCCTTCTCCACCCAAGACCTGCAATCCGAGCAACCCGAGTCTCGTGCCTCCGCCAAGGGAGAGCTCCTCACAATCGCCTCTCTGGAATCCCTCCAGGAGGAGGCTGTCGGCAGCCCAGTGTCAGTCCTGCGGCGCCAAGGCACGTCGCCAGGCTCGGCAACCTCCAAGCCTCTCGCAGCTGTCCAATCGAGCAACAATTTGCTCTCTGGCGACACTAGAGATGACCTCCACTTGGGAGAAGGCGGGGGGTTGACTGGCCGGGTACTTCTGTACTCGGACTTTGACGAAGAGGACGGAGCGGATTTCAGCAGCGTAATAGAGGATGACGAGATGTGGGCGTCGCTCGGCTCTCCCGAAGCTCCGCACGGCTGGCTTGCCTCGGCTTGCCTGGCCACCTGTTGGCCCAAGGCTCCCCGGTCTAAGAGGCGGCGGGTTTCCATGGAGGTTTCTTGCGCTGATGCGAGTGCAGTGTCTGCTTCCATTGGTGCTGCTGCGAGCGATGATAGGAAGGGCCGGGATGGGACTGGGGTGTTCACCGTGGCCGATTCTGCCAATTCTGAGGGGCCGCAGGTGGCTGCGTCCGCGTCCGTGGTGTCTGGATCAACCGTCTTTGCTTCGCCGTCTGCTTCTGCATCCCTCTTCTCGTCCACTATCCCCAGAGCTCTCTCGTCTGACACCCTATCGGCAGTCACTGCCCCACAGTCATCTACGTCTGCAGCAGCGGGAGCAACTTCGTGGGTCCAGCCGCGCACGGCGTTCCTGCAGGCCCTTCTGGAGGACGTGAGAAGGCCGAAGCGCGTGCGTGGCTCTGCTGCTTCGGCTACTTCTTTCCGGTTTGGGATGATGGAGGAGAGTCACGATGGGGCAACCAGCGACTCCCCTGCTGCCCACGCACGTGGGCTGGCTCGCTCCCTGAAGAACAAGAGGGACACCGCGACAGCGTTTGGTGGCACCACAGCTCTGGGCGTGCTTCACTTGGTGCCTGGTTCGTTTAGCAGTGGGAGTCCTTACGCCTCGGAGTATGCAGAGACGTGGAACTCACCCTCAGGTTCCGGCTCCCCTGGCTGGTCGGAAGCTGCTGGTTCTGATGGTTCCCCTGGTGCTGCTGCTGGTTCTGGTTGGTTCAGGACGAACAGCAGCAGCAGTCTTGAGAGCTTCTCGGGAACTCCGAACGCTAGTGGCTCGGCTTCTCTGACTCCATCTGCAGCAGTTTTCGCCAGTAATGTCAGCAATGGCGTTCGCAGGTGTGTGCATTGCAAGTCCACCAAGACCCCGCAGTGGAGGATGGGCCCTGCAGGGCCCAAGACCCTCTGCAATGCGTGTGGAGTGCGGTTCAAGAAGGGGAAGCTGTGTCCTGAGTACCGGCCTGCTAACAGCCCGGAGTACGAGGAGAGCAAGCACTCGAACCAGCACCGCAAGATACTGGCCATGCGCAGCAACATGGCTGCTGCCGCCAGCTGATCCCAGCCTGCCTGATCAATATTTTTTTCCTGCTGGGAAATGCTTGAAGATGGTGGCATATAGTGGATGGTTGGGTGCATCAGTTGCAAGCCAAGTTCGCTTTAGTGTGTAGGTGTGCATCGGGGTTTGAAGATGTACCATTCAATGTTGACTGCATGTTTGAGTGCATGCTTGAGTCCAGGCAACCACCTTGATTTGGTTTGATAAATTGATTTCTTTTTGTTAAGCAACCGTAATCAAAATGAATTGCGTTTTAATCTACGCCCAAGCCAAGGATGTTATCCAAGCAAGAATCCAAGGTACAACCTTCCTGAATGACTCGACCATCAGTGAGAGAATTGCCGCGGTGTGGGATTTGCCCTCTCAAATTTTTACACAACCCGAAAGACACACCATCCATCCACCTTCTATCGCGAGCGGTACGCGCTCCCAAGATTTAGCTTCATTCAACCACTATGAGGGTTTTTTTTGGTGGGTTCCAAATTGTCGATGGGCAGTTTGCTGGTTGACATCGAACTTCCCTGCCAGCCACGCAGTATCATCCTATTGGGCATTTCTCTCCTGACAGTGTGGAAGTCGGTTCGGCGAACGCGTGGCGCGTCCAGGTTCGGCAATCAGTTTCGGTTCACAATAATGATAATTTTTGAAAGTGTAATGAAATGTAACACTTTCTTAAAATTTGTATTGTGAAAAGGGGTACGTGGCCAACACAGCAAAGGTAGCGCCGAAGCGCTACTCACCCTCTTTTGCCTACAAAAGAGGGACGTGGGGACATTCGTCCCCACCCACGTTTTCATTTTCAAAATTGTAGTTCTAATTTCGTTCTCGTCCACTCTGGCGAAGACTCAGTCGCTTCCGCGTTTCACTGCCCCGTCAACGCTCCTTAACGACATCCTTAAGCGCAACCTCGCAACGATGGCTCCGGTCAACCCGGCACTTAACCGCGACAATTCGAATAATTCTAGCCCCAGTAACGCGGCGGAAACCTCGACTCCGGCCGTGACAACGGATCGTCACGGCGGAAAACGTCCCGCCGAGGAAATTTCAAGCGAGGGACCCTCGGCGGTCGACCTCCTGCTCGGAGGCACCCTTCGGACCCCCCCTGAGGAACGCGCGACTGTACAACAGTCGCGCGTGGCTCCTGCTGAAGAGCGCGTGCCTGCCAGGCACGCGCGTGCTGCGCAGAAGACAACGACCGGCGCTGACGCGGCGGTCGTCTTGACCGGCGCTGACGCGGGTCCATCCGGACCCACGACCCAGAAACGCCAGCGCGCGAAACCCTCCGCTGACGTCACCCCGGTCAACGCCGCCCCCACCCCTTTGACCGCGCAACAACTATAGGCGCTGCTCTCGTTATTGCAGCAGCACGCACCGTC